CTTTTCAGCCTTTTTGCTTCCCTTTTCCGTTCCAACTCTTCCAGTTTTAATCTTCGCTTCAATTCTCGTGCTTTTCTTTTTTCTTCTCGTATACGTTCGACATCCTGGATTACGTCAACAGTCAAAACTATAGAACTTCCATAAAAAGAAGTTTACCATGTGTCCAATCTCCATAGACAAATCTGCTGCCAATTCTCCGGCAGCTGGCACATAATGGCTTCCAGCAACTTCTGGAAATATGTAATGCAAACAACAGTCTTCGCGAAATAACAAACATGATGCTCTCATGGAAAATTCGCATTATCAAATCCAACCTTTAGGTGAATGGATATGCTTCCGCTCATACGGCTGGCGCAGCTCTACTGCCACTCCATACCGTCTCGCTGGCTGCACAATGCGGGACTTCGTTTGAACTTGCCGTAGACTAGGAACTTCCGATTCAGTTATAACCTGCACAAGGGGTTTCCGAGGACGACCTAAAATGGTAAATAGAGTATAATGGGCTTTACATATACACTACCTCTCTTGCGTCCCTTTCGTTGCTTGCCTTCGTTTACCCATACTCGCTCCGCCTTCTTCCACGGACGATCACCTATGATATGATTAATATGACCTTGGAACGCCTACAAAATGACTTGCCGCACACTTGATATTATTTAATTGCGTGGACATTTGCAAAATTATTTTATACATTCTATCATGCGATGGTAGATGTCGTACTACCCATTTTTTGCTTTTCACTTCAGGCCTCAGGCAGGGTTCACGCGATTTCATCGCCTCGCGATTTTTCGAAGACAGCTGTTATGCGTCCATTACATGTGCCGAGGCCTTATGCGTCGTTCGCTACTGACATGAAATCCCAACACCGAGAAAAAACATGAAAACATTTTTTCAGTGAACAGACATGGATGAGGAAAGTGAATGATGACGGATCGGAAGTAAGCGATACTGTCATAAACGTCCTGTCAAACAGCTAATCTCAAATTTTTGTGCCCTCTCTTCTATTCTTTTCGTTTTTTATGAACAGCCGAAGTGCGCAATATTTTGATATTTGAGAAGAAAAATCACGTTGACTACAGCAGATTTACTCAGAGAGTTCGTGAAGACAATATGAAATGGACTGTAAACTTCATTTTGCCCCAACCCTATGATTTAGTTTCCATTAGCTCGTAGTATTTCAAAAGTCGCAATTAGCATGACTTATCCCTGCCTTATGTGGCCTGAGGTAGGCGCCAGACTATCGGCTTGCCTGCTTGTGCTGTAGAAGGCGCGC